GAAACACACACACACACAGATTCTGACATTGGCAAGAGCTCCACATGTAGTCATCAGAAGATTCTCCAATGAGGCACAGAAATGTCTAGCTGAAGTTAATCAAGCTCACTTCATCTCCTGTCTTCCCACATAGGTTCCATATTATCATAAAAATGATTAGTCATATTCAGGCATTTAATTACTAGATACCAGATAAGGCAGTATAGAGTTCTGAAGTCTTCCACAGTATCAAACTTAGAGATCAGTTGATGGTTTGCTTGCTGAATTATGCTTTTGATGATTTTTAATTTATTTAAATATTTAATATGGTGCTCTGGGTTAGCAACCTTCTGATCAGATTCTGTATTTTCCTCTTTAGTGGGGAATTAGAGGCAGGGTGGTTTCTGGTTCCACAGTTATCTTTGAGCAGTTCTTTTCCCTTTCTCTTTGTTTTAATTCTCTTTATTTTTATCTTTATATAATTTCTGAATATGCTCAAACCCCCAAATCTCCTATCTTGAAACCATTTTATTCTGAACTTCTTCTAGTTTATAACTTAAAAATATTAAAATGTAAGATTCCTGACATATATACATAAGCTGTGTGTACTATATATTGATGTATGTTCTTAAAGCATTCTGAATTATGTATAAAAGTTATCAAATGTTACTTCAAGTGAAGCTTCATTATAGGCTAGAAGCAGATATATGACATTGCTTCATTATAACTCAAAACCTATGCCACCTTTTAATGGTGCAACAGTGTTTCAAAGTGATTATTTGGTTTAGCTCCATAGCCTTCCTCTAACATACCATCTTTCTTCTAGAAGAATATGCCAAAATTTCATCTGTGTTATACGTGTCAAGATTTACTTCCTTCTCTTTCAAATACTTTCAAGATTAAGCTTCTCCATTGATCCTAGTTTTCTGACATCATGGAATTGTAAAGATGGCTCAGTGGTTAAGAGCACTTGCTGTTCTTGCAGAGAACCAGAGTCAATTTCCAGCACACATGGTGACTCATAACTGTCTGTAGCTCCAGTCCCAGTGTATCTATCCCCCTCTTCTGCTCTAAAAAGGCACTGTGATCATGTGGCAAACAGACATACATGCAGGCAAAACACTTATACATACAAAATAAAGGTTAAAGTATTTTGGTAGTACTATGTAAGAATTTTATTGAATATACAATTCAATATGGAGGTAATTTGTATATAAAAATTGAATCATTAGTATTATACTATCTATGAATACAATACGTTTACTCAGCTATACTGACATAAAATATCCTTAAACTCTGAAAAGGTCAAATGCATTTCTAATTTTCTTGAAGCTTGAAGATTGCTATTTTATGCCCATTTGTATTGTAGTTTTCTTATTGCCTTCTGTTTACATTATCATATTATTTATATGTATTTAATTTCCTTTTTCTTTTGCAATATTTATCAGCTGGTGCCTTTGTTTTCTCATGGTGGTAGATAAAATATTTAGTTCTTCAGAATTAAGAAGAATGATTTCAAAGATTTTTTTCTCACTAAAAAGAATGTTTTTAAGAAATTTTAAGACAAGTTTTTAAAAAACTTTACCAAGATAAGTAAGGTCCCTTAGTTTTCACTTTCAAAGACTCAGAACACAGTCTACAGAATTTCCCTATGTCATATCATTATGACACCTTTGGTAATTTCTTCATCATAGTCACTCGAAATGACCCAGATCATATAAAAATAACAATATTGCCTCATGTTTTATTTTCAGGGAGAGTTAAGTCAACTTGAAACTTACGTTTACTTGAGCATTATTGGTGGGACCCTCGTGCTAAAGATAAGCTTAAACAAGAAATTCTACACAGGAGTAGGGTGCTGCCTTCAGTTTTCTCTTGAAATGGGATGTACAAGTCAGAATGGAGAAATTAGCTGCTGGGTGCAAGTGTTACAGCTCTGGAGGGAAAGGTATCCAGATTTGTCGGGAAGTCAGATTGTACCTACAGCTGTGATGAGAAAGGTATCCTGACTTGTTAGGAAGTTGGTCTATACCTGACACTGGGGTGTGGTGGGGGGATGGTCTCCCTGCAGAATAGAACAATTCTGCTCCTTGCAGAGAGAGAGAGAGAGGGGGAGGACACCATTACACCTGAGCTCAGCTCCACCCCAGTAAGGGAGTCCAAGATTGTCATTTTTTTTCTGCTTCACCCTGCTAAAGGGGAAACCCCTGAAGAAATGTAGCAATCTTCTCCATTTTTGGAGGACAAACTGCTACTTTTTCTGTTCAGTTGCCCTAAGGGAATATCCCAGCAAAAAGTCTGCTCCATGTCAGCGAAAGATGATCTTCACCCTAAACTCTTTTAATAAGAAAGAGATTTATTTGGAAAGAAGTAATCTAGGAGAGTGGCTACCTCTGCCAGAAGGACAGTTAACAACAGGCAGAAGGGCTTATATAGGGCTTCTTAGGGGCAGAATTTTTCCAGGGAGAAGATTTTCTGCTCAAGGATTGGTTTATTTTCCTGCTCAGGAATTGATTGGTTTAGTTGGTCAGGGGTAGAGTTGACTCTGGTTTCAGGACCAAAGTGTTTCTTTCACTGGCCATTTTCAGCTTTTTGGCTCTAGTTTCAGAGACAGGATGTATTTCTTTCACTGGTCCTGGTTTTAGGGTCAAAGTGTGTTTCTTTGACTCTTTTTTCAGGGTCAGGGTGTGTTTCTTCGATTCTGGCTTCAGGGCTAAAGTGTTTCTTTTACTGGCTCAGGTTCAGGGCCATGGTGTGTTTCTTTCACTGGCTCCAGCTTCAGAGTCAGGGTTCTAGATTTCATGCTCAGGGATTAGTTGTTTTCCTGCTCAGGGATTATTTGGTTTCCTGTACATTTGGTCAGGGGCAGGGTTGGCACTGGTTTCAGGGACAAACTGTGTTTCTTTTACTGGCCCTTTCTAGCCTTTTGGCTCTAGTTTCAGGACCAGGACACATTTATTTCACTGGCTCTGGAGTCAGGGCCAGAGTGGGTTTCTTTGGCTGGTCCTTGTGCACAGCTCTGGATACATCTGTTCCTCAGAGTTCTCACAGAAATCCAACTGATTGTGATATGTCCATAGCACGTCTCAGTGACTGCTGTGGTAAAAAGGACGTTGCTGATTGATGTTCAGATGTCCAATGTAGTCATATAATATTCTTTCTACATTGTGTGTCTCCTTCATTTGTCTGTTCTCTGCTTTCTTTGGTGAAGGATGTGGAAACATTTAAAGCATTTTCAGGGGCCCATCATGGTCATCGCTTGTTTGCTTGTTCATGTGCTCTGCACAGTGTGCTACTCTTTACTCTTGACCTTAGAGTCGAGACTTCTGTCAAGACTTTTTGTTGTTGCTACCCTTCCATTTCTTTGATTTTTTTAGTATTTAAGCAAAGGAATGCTATTTATTACTTCAGATAATATTTTCCTATTAACTTTCACTAGCTTAAAATTAGTAAAAAGAGACAGATAAAAGTATACTGAGGAGCACCATGACAAATACACACCATTCATCATTTTGACCCCCTGACAATAATGAAGAATGTGATTCCGAAAATTATGGAGAATGTAGTTATTTTGTTTTAAAGTATAGCTAAAATAAGAGTAAGTCAATTGCTACATTTTACAGGGAGAATAGAAGCCAAGATTGTCCTTAGTAACAAAGGTAATTTAAAATGATCATGACTATAATCCTTCACATAAAACTTCGCTGGTTCTAAACACATGACGTGCGTACTTGAAAATTAGGATTCTATGATCCAGCAGAAGTAAAATCATTATGTTGAAGAGGCACCTGCATTCAATGTTCACACATCACTGTTTACAAGTTAGCAAGAAATGCAATAAATGAGGAAATACTGCATATATATATATACATATATATATATTGAAATAAAGTTCAACCTTTCGTAAGCAAGAAATTGCAGCATTTGTGATGACACTCATGAACCTGGATAGCATTCTCTTAAGTGAAATAACCCAGACACATGGCAAGGTACATGATCTTCCTTATACACATGATGTATAAAAGTTGAACTCATATAGGCAGAATGTAGAATAGTGTATGCTAAGTGCTAGACATGTGGGCTGGGCAACACTGGGCAAAGCTTAGGAACAAAGTTTCAGCTAGATTGGATGAGTAAGTTCTGGAATCTGTTTCACAGCATGGTGACTGTACCTAATAATAGTATATAGAGTACTTGACAATTTCTAAGACAGTAGATTTTCTTATCACCCACACAAAGGTAACTATTTTAGCTGATAGATATCTTAATAATTTGGCTACAGGAATCATTTCACAACATTAGAATGTATCAGAACATTGTACTGCATACTGTCACCACACACACACACACACACACACACACACACACACCAGTAACACATAAATAAAACATTAAAAATGAGTATGTTAATGGAATTGTACTGAATATTTTCTTTTGGTACTTTACTCACAGTTCAATACATCTGTTCTTGTCCTAATTTAGTCACATTTATCATTATAAAATAATCTAATATCTATAGTCTTACCATTCACATTTGTAATATATATATGTATATATATCGCACATTTTTGTATGGCATGAAGTGGTGATTCTGGGTGTCTGGTTTTCTGAAATCAATACTTAGGTTGACTTTGTTCTGAAGTAATTGTCTAGGTTGACTCTGGTTCCACACATGCATAATGTAATTAGTCTTCTGTGTCTGACTTGTTTTGTAAAATATAATGTCCTTTATTTCTATCCATTTTGCTACAAATGACAAGATTTCATTTTTCTTTATGGATGAATAATGCTCCCTTCAGTGAAGTTAATCTCCAGAAGACATAGAGCCAAGTGCAAAACAAGATAGGACGCTAGAGGAGTTTACCTCAGGGGGTTGCCGCAGCCATTAAGACTTCCTTGCAAGGGGATTTTTCTCAAATGATAGAATTTCAGAATGGTCTCTTGTTGCCTTTCTCTGTGCTTCTGTTGTTTTTATTGTCCCAATATTGATACCATGGTTTCAATTTCATCTTCCAGGTGTGATGGAGCCTGCAACTTCATGTTTTTCTGGATTTTTCAAGGCCTTTCTTCTCTTACAAATCACGGTACCCACTCAAGGTAGAGATGGGGACGTTTTGTTGATTGCATTTATTCTTTCACAAGTTCATAATGCTTGCAAGGCATTCTGTGTACTCTACTCCCAAATCTCTCTTATTCCCCTTTCACCCTTGTCATTCCCCTTTTTCCCAAATGCCTCCTCACATTCCTGCTTTTTGCTTTGTTTTGTAGCCCACTGATTTTAACCAGGATTGTCTGTGTGCCCACACATCTAGAACTAGCTGTTGGTGCCTGGTGGACTCACCCAACATAAGACAATGACAGTCTCTGCCTTAAAATCTATCAGTAGCCAGTAGTTCAGCATTGATGGGGTGATGATGACAGGCTCAGTCTTATGCAGGTTCAAGGCAGGCTAATGAGGCTGCTGTGAGACAGTGTTTGCTATGGCTGTGCTGTTCTTTTTTTTTATCATTTTTTATTTTAATTTTAAATAGCTTGTTTTACATGTCAATCCCAGTTCCCTCTCCCTCCCCTCCTCCCGCACTCCCCTTCCACCCTCCCTCCCACCCTATTGCCAAATCCTTCCACATAGGGGATATCTAGAGTCTATCATTTTACTCTTGGTAGGGTCAAGGCACTCCCCTAAGAGTCCAGGCTGAGAGAGCATCTCTCTTTGTGCTATAGGCACATGAAGACAGATTGTATACCAGGGATAGACACTGATGCACAGCTCAGGGCCCCATAGGTTGCCCAGGCCTTCTCACTGACACTCACATTTGGGGGGGTCCAGATCAGTCCCATTCTGGCCTCCCCACTGTCGGTCTGGGGTCCAAGAGCACTCCCCTGTTCAGATCAGCTGTCTCTGCTGGTTTTGCCAGCCCATTCTTTGCCAATTTGCTCATCACTCCTCTCTCTCTGTCACTGGGTTCCTTGGGTTCAGTTCAGTGCTTAGTTGTGTGTTTGCCTCTGCTTCCATCAGTCACAGGATGAAGGCTCCCGGATGGTTATAGACATCAAGTTCATTTTCAGGAATGGGCATTCGAGGTGGTCCTTCCACTATTGCTTAGCTTGCCAATTGATGTTATACCTGATGTCACTCTGGTGCCTGATCTGTCTTCGATCCTATGATTCCCTCTTCCCCCTATTCTACCCCCACCCCCTCAACTTCCTGTTCCCCCATGACCAACTCCCTTCCTCTTTACCCCCTCTATTCTTCCCAGGTCCCACTACCCCCCTCGCCGTGTTCCCCATCCATTCAGAGGATCTTGTCTCCATCCTCTTCTCTTGGGTACTATGCATATATGCATATCTTTTAGGTTCTTTCCTGTTTCCCAGACTCTCTATCTGTGGAAGTGCAGACTGGCACTATCCTGATCCATATTTAAAATCCATATATGAGTGAGTACATACCATGTTTGTCTTTTTGCGACTGGGTTACCTCACTCAGGATGGTTTCTTCCAGTGCTATCCATTTCCCTGCGAATTTCAAGATTCCATTGTTTTTTCCTGCTGAGTAATACTCCATTGTGTAAATGTACCACATTTTCTCTATCCACTCTTCAGTTGAGGGGCATCTAGGTTGCTTCCAGGTTCTGGCTATTACAAACAATGCTGCTATGAACATAGTGGAGCAGATGCCCTTGTTGTATGAACCTGCCTCATTTGGATAAATGCCTAAGAGTGGAATTGCTGGGTCTAGTGGTAGATTAATTCCCATTTTCCTGAGGAATCTCCATACTGATTTCCAAAGAGGCTGTATGTTCTTTAAGGTAGAATTTTGTAGCAGTTTTTCCTATTACCCAACTCTTACATTTTCTCTGCTTTCTCTTCCCCAGTGTTCCTTGACCTTTATCTATCATTTAGTATATCTTGAGCATCCATGAATCTTCGCATTCACCATCCAGTAGCATAGGAAATAAGGCCAACAATAGCCTAATGGGACTTCATGAAGTTCCATAGTTTATCTTAGCAAAGGAAACTGTAAATAAAGTGAAGAGGCAGCCTTTAATCCTAAAGCCTGGGAGGCAGAGACAGGTAGATCTCTGTGAGTTAAATGCCTTCTTGGTGTACATCGAAAGTTCCAGGACATTCAGGACTACATAATAAGACCCTGTTTCAAAAGCAAAACAACCAAATAAAACAAAATAGCAAAAAGAGCATATTTGTAACAATAATTCAGGCAAAAGAGGCCATAAACTTCAGAGAGAGCAAGGGGGTGCATGGGAGGAGTTGGAGGAAGAAAAAACTATATAACTCTAATTCCAAAAATAAGAATATTATCTGCAATATGTTTTAATTGAAATAGAATTACACCACTTTCTCCCCTCCACCTCCTCCCGGTATCCTGCCTTCAATCCTTCTTGTGTTCTTCCTCTGAATTTCAAGTTGATAGCTTTTCTTTAATTATTATTGTCATGCACAGATATATATATATATATGTAAAATATATAAATATAACTTGTTTAATGTTTGTGCTATTTGTGCATATATGGTCTCAGGATAACCAATAAAGGGGCTCCTTCTCCCAGCAATCATTAATTGCTTGTAGTTCTTTGGGGTGGGGACCCTCAAAAAGTTCCTCCTTCAACATTAATATGCCTGTTAATATTGCCATTGTTCCAGTCTTGTCTACTAACCATTTCTAGGAGAGACTGTCTCAGTGAAGACCTGGCATTCTGGCTCTTACAATCTTCCCACCCTCTGCTTCTGCTATGTTCCCTGAGTTGTAGAATCAGAAACAATAATGTGGATGTAGCTTCTGGTTTGGACTTCCCACAATCCTTTGATCTCTGTATTGTGTCTAGCTACAGTTTCTGGGAAGATCTCCATTTTCCATACAGGGATATTTGTTAGATGAGGGGGTAGTATCTTCCCCTGAGGATATAAATTTTAAAAAAATTCAATAAATCTGTTGTGAAAGGTCATCATCCTTTACATAGGTATGAAATCATGAATTAATGTCTCAAATGAAGCTAATATAATTTGTTTCTCATATAGCAATACTTGAATTTATATGCATAGAAGTATCCATATACACACCAAGTATAAAACAAACATGCACATATATGTGTATACATACAGAAATGTATGCAGACATAATATATGAAAATACTTATACATCCATGTATTTTTTAATAATTTCAAATGAATTATGTACATGTTTTTCAAATTGTTTTTAAAATATGAATTTTAAGTAATTTTATATGAATATTTTGCTATCCTTTTTGTTGTTGAGAATTCTATCTTGTAGTCACTCAAAATCATTTTTTCTATATTCTAAAGTACACCTACTGAACTATTATGCTGCACAATTAAATAATAATGAAAGATACTTTGAAGAAGCTTATACCATTAAAATAAGAATGAAAGGTTTATTATTTTAGGATATTATAAACAAATTCAATGCTTGCAATTTAAATTATTACTATGAATCTTCACATATGTACAAATGTATGAAAGTTTTAGTATTGATCTATCAAGTCACACTTAACCTTACATTATGTTATTTAATTACACTTTATTGAATTGATTGAGCTTTCTAGAGAGTACTGACACTTCCGTGTCTAACTAAAATAGTTCCCTCTACTTTGGTATGAATCTCACAGGAGCACAATCCACAGCATTCCCTCCTTAGGGAGTTTTCTGCACTGGCTGGTTTAAAACTCCTTTCATGAAGAGCTCCCCTAGCTCCTACAGGCTTCCAAACTGCTCCATTGTTTCTTGTCTCTCTTCCTGTATTCACCCAAATATGAGACAGTTAACCCACCATCATGTTTACTCTCTTGAACTGAGAATTCTGATCATCAATCATCATCTTAAAATTATTTAAAGGATATAAATAATTAGTTCCTCCCCCCAATAAGTAAATGCTACAGAAGCAGATACATTGACTATCTCTCTTCACCTAGTTGTTTCCCTGTTTTGATCCCCCAGTGGATGCTTATTTTGTTGGGTTTTTTAGTTAATTTTGGGAAGTAGTTTTATAGTTTATCCACTTTCTGAGTTTGTGTTCACCAGGAAAGTTGTTGATGTTTTCATGTAATTCTTCATTACCACATCACTTAGAGTTTTAACAGTAAGAGCTCTAAATGTATTGATACATTAATTTTAAAAATCTGTTTTAGAAACTATGCATATTTCTATTTGTATAATAGTTTAATTTTCTAAAGAACTTGATTCCGTGTCTACGTTCAAAATATGATAATATAAATGCCAAAGTAGTGCAGAAATGGGAATACCTAGTTTGGGAATTTGGTTTTGTGTTGGATTCATTGCTTTTCTTTTTGTATTGAGATATATGTTACACAGAGCAAAGAACATTAAGTGCACAAGTCAATGAAGTTTGGATTGCAGGGATATCCATGAATTCATTCCTCAGTTCTATATACTGAATATTTTTAGCATCCTAAAATGTTGTCCTAATCTTTACTAGTCAATACCATGCTCTTATTGCCAAAGTGACCATTGTTCTAACTTCATTGCTGTAGATTAATCACAAACATTACTATATTATTCCATTTATAACAGTATCTATAATAGTCAAAATTATTTACCATTATTCATTTATGATATTACATGAGTTTTTCTTTTGGATTTTTTCAGTATTATTATTTGGATTTGTTTGCATTATTTTTGTTACTTTGAATTTAGGGGATGTTATGATTAATGCTGTCATTAATATTTTTAAAACCTGTAAACATGCTGCAGTCTTCAGGAGTATACAGTGAGATTTCAGATGATAGACCAGAAGGCCAACCTTGCAGAATTAATGCATTCTGATGGAGGAGACCCAATCTCAAGATATTGGGGTATCCCATTTTGTATTACGGCTGTTCTTACAGAAAATTTCTTGTGAAGCCATAGTGTTCCCTCTTCTTTGTGTGAGATCTGCCCTAAAAGATATAGCATATTCCTGGGCACATTTTTCCCATGTACTAGTATATTGCGTGACTTCCCCCACTCCATGGGACCTCTAGTGAAGCAATTTAGTCATGTAGTCAAAAACCATGGTTCCAGTCTAATCTCTGCTCCACTCCCTGAACTAAACATTAGAGGCCATCTACCTGCAATTATTTTCCATTTGGTAGGACATTTGGCCAGGAAAGGATTTTTTTCACATAGATCAAATTTGGGAGCTTCAAGATAAGGGAGATAAGTTCAAGCTTGTTTGATTCTTGATCTCTTTTGATAGGAGACCGGGTGCCCCACATTCTCTCACAGCTGACTTGGGAAAGTGCTAACCCCAGTTTATCCTCGTCTTAACCCTAGAAAGGCTATTAATTCCCTATACCTACCCTCACTTCAGTTTATTGGATATAAGGTTTTTTAAGATTTATTTGTTTATTTACTTATTTATTTGGTGTATACACCTAGTTCTGTCTTCATATATGCCTTTAGGGCATAAGAGGGCGCCAAATCTTATTACAGATGGTTGTGAGCTTCCATGTGGGTGCTGGGATTGAATTCAGGGCCCCGGGAAGAGCAGCCAGTGGTCTTAACCTCTGAGCCATCTCTCCAGCCATGGATATAAGGTTTTACCCTAGGAAATTTACTGCCTGTGTCCTAACCCTGAGAGATAACAGAAAAAGCCTATGCTTGATTAGCCAGTGCCTGGGTAAGATAATTCCCTTTTCACATGAGTGGCATTGGAGACAAGTACCACCTTTTGACTTGGGCAACTAGATTTTGTCAGGCCCTGGATTTTGTACTATAACCATAAATCCTCCTTGTTATAATTGCCTAGGTGATAGGTGTAAATTGTAGATCTAAAAAAGTCCTTTTTAGTTAGCTACGCTGGCGAAAATGCTGATGCAGATCAGAATCCACAGTCGTCTTCTGCAAGTCCACTGGTCGCCATACCAACTCTAATGCTGATTGTAGGTGCCATGGCCCTGCGGACCAGAAGACAGTTAACCACTGCATCCTTACTCGTTTTTTCTTTAAGAGTTATTGATCACAACAAACCCCTAGGAATATAGATTCATGCACAAACTCCTTTCCTCCCTTCCTAGGATTTTAAGTTTCCTAAATCTGCCTTTCTGCCTCCCTGTTTCCCGGGCATCCTTCTAGCCATATCTCCCTGGGGCCATAAAGTTGCTGACAGATACAGACTGCTTCTATCTGCTTTATGACCCTGAGAAATTCTGTCTCTGTAAATTTGCAATTATCAGAGATTTATCTTTGTATATATATTGGAAACTTTGTAACACGGCAGAGCAATAAAGAAACTGGTACCAAGAAGCATGGAAAGGGAGTTTTTTCACCCTCAGACCCCTTGGGCCTTTTGCTGGGCATAGCCTTCCTTCTGAACCCTGACAGGACATTGAGACTGGATCTCAATAGCCCTCGATATAAACATCTACTAAAAATTTCTGGGTTGTGAACATAGGTATATGTATAACTTTAGTATGTACTGACACATTTACAGTCTGTGGTAATGTTAGTCCTTGTCTTGTTTCTTCAACGCTGTAATGGGGATCAAGTATGAATTAATGAGGGCTTGCTTTGCATTTCCCTGATAGCTGATGATGTCAAAAATTTTTTGCATATACTTATTGGTTATTAGGATATCTCTTTGGATTAAATATGTCTCTGCTGTTTTTCTATTTTAGGAAATAAGCTTGATTTATACCTCCTGTCATCTATTGTGGACACAGTTCCTTCCTCATATACAGTGAAGATATCTTCTAGTCTGTGGCTCTCTCTTTTTGTGCACATTCTGATGTATAGAAATTGCTAAATTTCATAAAGTCCGATTTATCAGTTTTCCCCTATTGTATTTGTGTATATTTTCAGCTTATGTTTACCCATGTGGGACACAGGTAGCACCTTATTGAGAATGAGTACCTCCACCAACTTGAATCCATTCTACCCTCCATAACATCATCTTTCTCATCTTCCTAGTTATGAGCTTGGATATACAGATTAGCATTCGGGTTCCAGATGCAGAAGGGATATTGGTGGAGTGTGCCTCAGGAAGTTTGTTTCCACCTGCTGAGATGACATGGAGAGACAGCAAGGGGAATATAATTCCATACTCATCAAAATTGGACTCTCAGGATAGTACTGGGTTATTGTATTTGAAGAGCAGCATTCTTCTAAAAAACAGAACACATGGTCCTGTTACATGTTCCATTTATAATGTAACTACTAATCAGGAGAAAAAGAAAAGTATTGTCCTTCCAGGTAAGTTCTTATGACTTGGTTCTATCAGGGATGTATTGTTTTAATTAAGTACTCAAATTAAGGAGAGAACTGAATGAAATAATAAATGTCAAGTTGTGTTACAAGGTACAAACTACTTTACAGTTATACTATTTGAGTTGCTGGAAATCAGAAAAATACTGGGTGCTATGGAGAACATATTACAGCAAAGGTATTGGGGCTGGAGTGAAGTCTTAGGTTAAGAGCAGTTTGTTCTCTTTGAGGGCCTGTTTTGTTCCTAGAACCCATATTACATGGCTCACAACCACTTGTAACTCCATCTCTAGGGTATCCAGTTCTCTCTTCTTGACCCCATATGTTCCTACAGGCATGTGCATATACACACTCATAGACATTTGTCCGCACATACACATAGAAAATCAATCTTAAGACATTGAAATAATTGACCAATGAGCTCTCATTCTGTGTTGCATGTTAAGGATTCAAAAGCTATATGACTTTCCCAGATTTCTGTTTCTGGAATATTATTTCTCCTTTAAAATTACTGTTTTGTCTCATATGAGAAATAGCCTATATAACATCTAAGGTAAAAGGAAGATTGCAATCAACAAGCACATATAACTGAAAGATAGGTCCAGATGCAGAGAAATTAATGTTACTGCAATCCTCATGTCCTACTCTTGGCTCTGACCATCATGAAGCTCACAGTCATAATTTCTTTCTGTCTACACTTCTCAGTGTTTCCGTATCTGACCCTTTTCTTCTCTGCAGCTGCCTCGATGGCTATCTTCCTTCCAGTCACTGTTGCAAGGGTCCCTGGCCTCCCTGAGTATTTAATCTTCCTTCTTTCCAGGTGCATAGATTATCTCAGCTTCAAATAATAACCACGTCCCAAGATGGCCAAGAAAGAACAATTGGAGTTGCGACAGGGTCAAGATATATCATTCAAAAGCATGTCGCTTATTACTTACTTTATTTACTCAGTCCCATTGGCTAACATTTTTGACATTTTCCAAAATTCCCATCAAATTATGAATCCATGAATGGATTAATCCTTTGGCAAAGTTAGAACCCTCATGATCCAAACACTTCGCAGTGATTGTATCTGCCAAATGGGGACTAAGCCTATAATGTGAATATTTACATTGGAAATGTATATCCAACTCATAACACTAGGTTCTTCTGTTCTCTCTTTCAGATGTCCTGTTCAAACCAAAGTACATGTCATTGATGTCCAACAAAACTTCATGTCCTGTAATATATTTGAGCATTATATTTTTTCTTCATTTTCTCAAAGGAATACTTGTTTATTGTTGTTTACTAAGGACAAAATGTAATTCCATGGAAGGTAAAGAGTTCTGAAACCAGCAAAACTTTTAAGCACCGTAGACAGCAAAAAAGATATTCCAGGACAAAACCTGATTTAAAAAATACCTACCCACAAATCTATCCCTAAAGAAAGTGTTAGGAGGAAAACTCCAACTCAAGGAAATTAGTGGGACCCACAAAAACACAAGCAATAGATAACCTCATACAAGAAAATCCCAAAGAGGGGAACAAGGCAAGGCTATCCACTCTGCATAATCTATCTAGTATAGTACTCAAAGTTCTAGCTAGAGAAATAAGACAGCAAAAGTTGATCAAGGGGCTAAAAACTGGAAAAGAAGAAGTCAGACTTTCACTATTTGCAGATGATATGACAGTATACATAAGTGACCCCAAAAATTCTATGTGGGAACTACTAGAGCTGACAAAACCCTTCAGTAATGTTGTGGCATACAAGATTAACTAAAGAAAGACTAGAGCCCTTCTATAAACAAAAGTTAAACCAGCTAAGAAAGAAATCAGAGAAGCATCACCCCCCCCCCCTTTTATTTGATTTTCGAGACAGGGTTTCTCTATAGGTTTGGAGACTGTCATGAAACTCTATTTAAAGACCAGATTGGCTTCAAACTCACAGAGATCTGTTTGCCTCTGCCTCCTGAGTTCTGGGATTAAAGGAGTACACCATCACTGCCCATCGAAGCAGCATCCTTTATAATAGCCACAAATAACATAAAATATTTTGGCGTAACTCTAACCAAACAAGTGAAAGACCTATATGACAAAACTTCAAGTCTTTGAAGAAAGAAATTCAAGATATCAGATAATGGAAAGACCTTCCATGGTCTTGAATAGGTAGGATCAACATAGTAAAAATGGCAATCTTACCAAAATCAATCTACAGATTCAATGCAATCCCCATAAAAATCCCAACACAATTCTTCACAGGCCTCAAAAAAAACAATGCTCAACTCCATATGGAAAAACAAAAGTATCCTGTACAATAAAGCAACTTCTGTAGGCATCACCATCCCTGACCTCAAGCTCTATTCTAAATCTATATTAATAAAACAGTTTGGTATTGGCATGGTTTGGTAAGCAACAACATCCTGCCTTGGAGCAATCTTTCTCACATTGTAGTAAGCTTCCTAGAATATACACAAAATCTCATGAGACTAATGAATGAATGGCTAAACAGAAAGGGTGCTATAAAAATCTTGCTGGCTGCACAAAATCATTATAAAAGCTGAAGTCTTAGTTTCCAAGGCAGTTTCTTCCCCTCTTAGGTAGCTCTGAGTTTCACAGAAACTCTGTGGATCCTACAACCATTAGGCACTTAAACATTGGGATAAGGATATAGTGAACAGGGTCCCACAGCAACAAAGTCATACTTTTAGGCTGATTACATGCTACACAGTCATGAGAAAAATGAGAAGATATTTTTATTTGATTTTGTTTTTAAGTCTCTCTGTCTAAATAGCCATCAATCTTAAGTTCACCCAATTCTAAGTTCTATCATCACTAAAAATTCCTAACCCCTAAAATCTTGCTTATGAGGTTTTAACCTTGACATACATTAAATAAACAGCACTGCCTATATTCAGCATTCCTCTTGCTCTTCCAGTACATTCCCAATGTCTTAGCTTCCTAAATCTTCTTACTGACTCTTTTTCAGATTTGAAGAGAATAAGACTTGTCTATGAGTTTGCCTGTGAATGTGTACTGTTAGCTTTGTATATTGGCTTTCTCCCTCTTTACTTGATGTTCAGGAATAGAGGTGAGTAGAACTACAATGGGGTCTGTCATTTCACCTCATCTCTGCCCAGAGCCTTCTCATCTAAGAACTATTTGGGTTTACCATCTTCATAGAGATTCTTTTTTGATGGCATTTTTATTTTTAAATTTAAATTTAAATTAGAAACAAGGTTGCTTCACATGTCAATCCCAGGTCCTTCTCCCTTTCCCTCCTCTCCTCCCACGCCCTCCCACCAACCCCCCCAGTGCCCCCTCATTTCCCCAGGGAGGGTGAAGCCCTCCATGGGGTGTCCATAGTATGCCATTTCATCCAGGACTAAGAACTTTTTAATGCTGAGTAGTCTGCTGCAGAATTAGCAGTCATGGTTTCAGGGACATCTCAGTGACTTCAAGTGCTCATCTTGGAACTAAGTATTTTCCAAAGTTTTAGGCTTCTATCATGTTGATAGTCACAGTTACATCTTCTCTCATACCAATTAAAAGATTTATCTCTAGGTCTTGCCTCCATGTCATTCCACATGTGCAGGTATTCTTTTACAAAGCACATATTTTGGTGTCCCCTGCCATTTACACTAAGCCAACAATATTAAACATTAAAAATACTTTTGGTTTGGAGATGCCCTCTGACAATTAATGAAAAAAAATAACATTTTTCTTATTGATTTCATTTTCATACTGTAACAGAATGTTTACAGGATAGTATCTGAAAATTTAGAAATTCCTTTCATTTTATTGTGTATATTAGGAAGTATTTCTATAAAAAACAACCAGCAAAGTAAGCCCAAAGATCTAATTATTATTTATGAGTGGTTTGCACTCATCCATAATACAAATAGAAATTCATTCCATCTATTATACTGCAAATCATAAAAACAAGCCTCAAATCCTAAACAAATGAACTAAAGGGAAATTTATCTAAGAGTCAATGGAAAATACAAAGACATGGAAGACATAATTTACCTTCAGCACTATCAAGTATACTAAATGTCTTAAGCCAGTCTTTATGATTACAATACATCTTTCTGTCCATCTACCACTTATACAGATATGTAATCTTAAAGTTATTTTTGACACTGAGAAAGCAAGAAAAATATTTCGAGGAATAGGAAATATAAATATACGAATCTTTTCTCCCTATCCCCCTCTTTCATCCATTTTTATGTTTCTGTTGATGTCCTGATACCCTGGTTTTAATTAAAGATTAAATGGAATAATTCTAGTTCTTAGGCCCTTCATAAGGATGAGTATCATAGAAATATCAACATTCATTTGAGGAGATCAAAATAGTGAACACTGAAATAGTCGGTAAAAAATTTACCAAGGAAAACAGTACAACTGATGGAATACTACAAAGAATAGAATTTAGGGTCTGGGGAGATGACTCATGATTAAAAGCACTTACTGTTCTTGAGGAGGATCTGAATTATGCTTCAGCGTCTAAATGGCAGCCCACAACTCATCATAATTACTGTTTTAGGGGTTCTGAAAACTTCTGGCCTCTAAAACTCATACATAAAATAAAAAATAAGTACTGTTTTTGCAAAAGGAATAGAATTACAGTTATTAACTGGTACTAGTTCCATGAAAATTTGAAGACAAAGACAATTGGTAAGCTCTCCCATTGTATATTGAGGGAGAGTTGTCAAAGAGGCTTAGATTTTTCAAATTAGCAATGATTGTGTAGACTTCCTGTGTATATTAAGGATAAAATAAAACTTTTTATTTAAAAATGGAAGAAAGCACTTAAAATATGAATAGACAATGAAAACCTATTATGAAATATGAGAGTATTTCAAAAGACCAGTGGAACATCTTTATAGATTCATTTGTACTAACTGAAATTAAAAAGAAATAACTCAGTGGACACATTGACATCAAACATAATGAAAAAGAACTGGACTTTAGATATTAGGTAAGATGCCATGTGTACATAGCTACCACATAGATCATAGACCCAGATTATGTATCAGTTAGCCACCATCACAGAAGCCCCTATTTCCAGTAAATGATAGTCAACATGGAGATCAAGGTGAGTGGCATGAAAGATGTCTATGTCATTCCTAAACAAGATATTTATATCCCACCTTCCTCCAAAAGATCATGGTCCATTGTAGAAGACAAGATGGAGAGGTTTTGAGGGCTGTAGTGGTGGATGACTACAAGGAACATTTTTTTTCTGTATGCAGCAGGGCAGTTACTCATAAGAACCCAGCAACTGAGATGACATGCACATGACCTATGCAGACTTGGCCAGATAAATATCTAGCATGGAGATGTGGGTTGGGCATGAAGACACACACTTAGCTATAGAGGTATTGCCAGCTAATAACTACTGGGAGAGGAAGAATCAGTTTTCATTAAGGCTGTGGACTCTAGTAAGTTGACCACACTCCGGTGAGGGGTACACATCCAAAATTATACAGGCCGCACATACGGTACTTCGTGTGTGTTTGTGTGTGTGTGTGTGTGTGTGTGTGTGTGTGTGTGTGTGCTTAATCACATTTCCTCATACGTCTCTCTGTGAGAGTACTTTATTTTTCATAATAAATATATGTTGGGCACCACGATTTCCTCTTTTAGAATGTTCCTTAATGTCTAAAAGATTATTATCATTGTATCAAATGCTTACTTTTCTCCTTTGTTTAACTCTTCTTTTATGCCTTTTGATGGCTATGGGTCCCAGCTTTCTACTTGATTCTATTTCTTACTATATTTTCCAACTCTGTGTGTTAATAATTTCCAACTCAAATTCAAACAATAATTATAATTATAATAACCTATTGCTGAACACTACTTTGCATTTTTAATTTCATGTATCACATTTAAATACACCTATCCATTTGTTACCTACATGGATTGACTTTTACTCTTGAATATTATGATCATATTCTTGGTATGCTGCACATTAGAATCTGCTGTTCTATTGAGCTGCAGTGACAGACAATATTGACTTACCCAACTGCTCATTGGACTGATGCATTTCTTCTATGCTTTTTCTGCAACACCTTGCTTTAGCAACTCCTAAACCAGAAAATAAAAAATAAATAGGAGGACACTGTCAGCTTCTTGTGGATAAATGTGCAAAAATAGGAACATCTTATAGTTTACACATATGGTTCAGACCAAACTGCACAAACCCTTTGACTCATTCAAACTGCAAATTTTTGTCATAAAATCTTGGATTGGTGGCCTAAAATTTACCCCACCCCCCACCATGAAGGTTACTTAAAACCTCCTTTTTCTCTTTCTTGTTGAATAGGGCTCTTTGATTTGGCTTCTTAATTTATGCATATAAAACCGTTTCTATTTTACTTGTTTTAAAATATGCTTATCATTTCTTTCTCTTTTTTTGCAGCTTCTATTTTGGATGATGATGCATATTCATTGTATAGTAGTTGGCTGTGGGACGTATGTGTAATCTTGATTGTAGTGATGGCATTTTTCACTGTCCTCATTTCGCTTCTATTTTGTACCTTAAACAGTAAGTAAACCAGTGAGGATGGGAAATCCAAGGATTAGTCAGTCTCCTGTTTCTCTACCTGAATCCCCATGTATCTAATCTTCACTTGGTAAAGGTGGAGGAAAATAGTGGTTTGGGTTATTGCTATCTTTCTTTACTTCTATAAGCAGATTGCCAGGCATTTTGAGATTCATATAGGCCTTGCTAAGTGTTCATTAAGTTAGTGTGTGGAGTTTCCAATAGGGGACTCTCTCTTAGGTAGTTGAGATGGGGAGCTTTCTTATGATGTTCACTATTCCTCCTTTAGGGACTTTCTGTGATGCTAACCTCAACCATGTGGAACACTATCAGCCTTCTCCTCTACAGTGATATGTTACCATGTTAAGCTTTGTCCCCTGAGAAAATCTAATTTCCCATGTTTAATGTTGGGTTCTCACTGAATGCTGTTTGGAGGAAGCATCTTCTCTAATTTATCAAGACTAAGCTAGGCAAAGTTAAACTCCGTGGATTTTCATTTATCCAGCTACTATATGGAACTCTCTTTGAACTCTTACAGAAACATTCAATGAAGCAGACTTAGAAAAGGTATCCAGGGTTACCCAGGTAGGAAATAGACCCCAGAGCTATTTAAACCTATTAAAATAGAGAGAATCTGGTTTTTCCTCTTTGAGTTTTTAGTTTCATTAATAAAATAATTTAAACATACATCAAGGGAAACTGTGGTGCAATTTTATTAGTTTAAGAGAAAAAACCTCAAACTGTCAATTTTAGCATCTGCTAACATATGAGATGAGAAAACAGAGACAGTTGTATCTTTTGAATACTGGAGATATTCACATCCAGAAGGGAAGACTTGTTTCACAGAGTGAATGAGAAAGCCCAGTGTGTGGGAAAGCATGCTTAGGCATTTGGTCAGTATCAAAAACAAAAAGAATAAGATGTAAGAAAAAGGGAAAAGGTATAAACACTTAAATATTTTTAACAAAAGTACATTTTCTTTATTTAAAACAACATTGATTGAAGTCATAAAATAAAAATTGTGTATAGTCACAGCATTTTATAATAGGTATATAAATTTTAATACAGGTCTTCTTCTAACACAAATTCTAAAAAGAGACAATGTATAGCGATCCTTTTTATTTATTGATTGCTATGGATTTCTTTTTCAGGAGTATTCTTTATTTTTGGCTAAATGGAACCCTAAAACATGATTCATTCTGCTGTTTCCTTCCCATTAGCCAAAGAACAGGAATCACAGGGTCATTCAGAGCTGGAGGATGAAATCCCACCCTTACTCCATCTTACAGATGACTCCACACAACAAAGTTCACCATTGCTGGTAACTATATTTAAAAATGTATGTTTTACATATATATATATGTATATTCATTCATTCATTCCTTTTACATCTCTGCCACAGTTTTCCCTCTTTCCTCTTTTTCTATCCTTGTAGATTCCTGGGAGATTCCCTTATGCTAGGTTTTTACCTTATCCAAAAATGCACCACCCTTTCCAGTAGATTTTTATTACTTTCTGCCCCCACCCACAACCTGATCATTCATGTTCCCATCCCTACCCATCCTCAGTCCACTCATGGAATTTCTTCTATTTGCTCTTCCCATGGAGATCTGAGTGTTCACCCATGTATCCTTCTTTTTACCTAGTCTCTCTGGTTCTGTGGATTGTAGCATAGTTCTTTATTTTGTAGCAAATATCCACTTATGAGTGAGTATATACCATGTTTGTCTTTCTTGGTCTGGGTTAGCACACTCAGGATGATTTCTTTCTAGTTCTATTTATTTGCCTTCAATTTTCCTAGTGTCCTTGTTTTTAGCAGTTGAACAATACTCCATTGTGAAAATGTACCACATTTTAAAATATGTTCCTCAGCTGAGGGACATTTAGGTTGTTTCTAGGTTCTGTTTATTACAAGTGAAGCTGATATGAACTTATTTGTGCAAGTGTCTTGTGGTATATGATTGAGCATCTTTTGGGTATATACCCAAGAGCAATATTGCTGGGGCTTGTGGTAGGTTGATTTCCAGTTTTCTGAGAAACCATCACATTGACTTCCAAAATGGCTGTACACGTTTGCAATGGAGGAGTGTTCCCTTTGCTTCTCATCCTTTCCTGCATGAACTGTCACTTGTTGTTTTTTTATCTTAGTCATTCTGACAGGTGTAAATGGAATCTCAGAGTTGTTCTGATGTGCATTTCCCTGGTGGATAAGGATGTTAAATGTCTCTTTAAGTGTTTCTCAGTCATTTGGGCTTCTTTAGTTTAAAATTTTCTGTTTATATCTGTACCCAATTGGATTATTTAGCTTGTTGATATTGAGTTCTTCATGTATTTTGAAAATCAGCCCTCTGTCAGATGTGGGGTTTGTGAAGGTCTTTTCCCATTGTGTAGGCTGCCATTTTGTCTTATTGACAGTGTCCTTTGCCTTACAGAAAAATTTCAGTTTCATGAGGTTTCATTTATTAATTGTTGATCTTAGTGCCTGAGCTACTAGTGTTCTGTTAACGAAGTTGTCTCCTGTGTCATTGTGTTCAGATCTACTCACCAACCTTCTCTTCTATCAAGTTAAGCATATTTGAATTTGTGTTGAGGTCTTTGATCCATTTGGACTTGAGCTCTGTGACAGGAGATAGATAAGGATTGATTACATTCTTCTACATGCTGATAACCACTTAGAGCAGTATCATTTGTTGAAGATTTTTTCATCGTATAATTTTGGTTTCTTTGTTGAAAATCATGTGTCTATAGATGTATGGATTACACATGGGTCTTTAACTCAATTCCATTGGTTCACCTGTCTATTTTTAATGACAATTCTATATAGTTTTTATTACTTTATTTCTGTAGTAGAGCTTGAAATTAAGGATAGTGATACGTCCAGAAGTTCCTTAATTGTACAGGATTATTTTAGCTATCCTGGAGTTTTTGATTTTCCATATGAAGTTGAGTATTATTACTTCAAGGTCTATAAAAATTGTGTTGGAATTTTAATGGGGATTGCATTAAATATGTAGATTGCTTCTGGTAAAACAGCCATTTGTACTGTTAATTCTACCAATCCACGAGCATGGGAGATCTTTCCATCTTCTGATATCTTCTTTGATTTCTTTCTTCAAAGACTTGAAGTTTTGTCATACAGGTTTTTCACTTGCTTGGCTAGAGTTACCAGTTAATCTTGTATCTAGCCACTTTACTAAAGGTGTTTATCAACTGTAGGAGTTTCCTGGTAGAGGTTATTGGGTAACTTTTGTATACTATGATACCATCTGTGAATACTGATACTTTGACTTCTTCCTTTCTAATTTGTATCTCCTTGTTTTCCTCTAGTTGTCTTATTGATCTAGCTAGAACTTCAAGTACTATATTGAATAACTATGGATAGAGTGAGTAGCCTTATTATTTTCCTGATATTAGTAGAATTGATTTAAATTTCTCTCCATTTAATTTGATATTGATTTAACTTAGGTAACTGGTATCTATCAAGAAATTTGTTCATTTCTTTTAGATTTTCCAATATTGTGGAGTACAGGTTTTTGAAGTATGACTTAATGATTCTCTGGAATTCCTCGAAGTCTGTTGTTATGTCCCCCTTTTTTGTTTAATGTATTGATTCAGATGTTCTCTCTTTGCCTTTTAGTTAGTTTGGATAAGACTTTATATATTTTGTTGATTTTCTCAAAGAACCAATTCTTTGTTTTATTGATTCTTTGTATTGTTATCTTTGATTCTATTTTATTGATTCTAGTCCTCAGTTTTATTATTTCTTGACATCTACCTCTCTTAGGCATGTCTACTTCTTTTTGTTCTAGAGCTTTCAGGGGTGCTATTAAGTCACTAGTAGGATCTCTTCAAATTCTTTATTTTTGTTTTAAATTTCATTTTTCATTCCAACCTCCTCCCCCTGCAGCCCACCCCCATGCACTCCTCCTACAGGGGAAGAGGGGAAGGGCTTCCATGGGGGATTTATGAAACCTGGCCCATTAAGTTGAGGCAGGACCAAGCCTGATCTTGGCATCCCACCATAGGTAATATGCTACAACAAGCTAGCTCATGCACCAGGGATATGTACTGGTCCTGCAGTCTGGAGCCCTTCAGATAGACCTAGCTACACAATTATTTCCCACATGCAGAGAGCCTAGTTTAGCCTCACTGGGGCTCCACAGCTGTCTAGAGTTCCCATGAGTTTGGTTCAGCTGTCTCTGTAGATTTCTCCTTTGTGATTTTTACCTCCTTCGATCATGTATTCACTCCTCACTCCCATCAACTGTATTCCTGGAGTTTAGTCTGGTGCTGAGTTGTGGATCTCTGCATCTGGTTCCATCAATTACTAGATGAAGGCTCTTTGATTACAATTGGGATATTTACCATTCTGATTACAGGGCAAGGCCTGTCCAGGCACTCCCTCTACTATTGCTAGGAGCCTTAATTGGGTTCACCCTTGTGGGTTCCTGGGATTTTCCCTAGCACCAGGTTTCTCCCTAACCCCATAATGGCTCTTTCTATCAAGATATCTCTTTAATTGCTTTCCCCTCTGTGCCTTTCCCAATTTGACCACCCCATTTCTCTCATGTCCTCATTCTTCACTCCCTTTCCCCCACCCCAAGTTTGCTGGGCATTTAATTCTCCTTCCCTCGACAATCCATGAGTCCCTCTTAGGGTCTTCCTTGTTATCTAGCTTCTCTGGAGCTGTGGATTGTAGTCTGGTTATCCTTTACTTTACATCTAGTATTCAATTATTAGTGAATGTTTGTCTTTCTGAGAGTGGATTACCTTGTGGTATGATTCAGCATCTGTAGATGGTAGTTTCTCTCCCACCTAGTCATACAGCTGTTTAGTCCCAAATAAACACACAGAGGCTTGTATTAATTGTAAACTGTTTGGTCTGTTATTTAGGCTTGTTACTGCCTAGCTCTTTTTTAATTATTAACCAATTTCTATTAATTTGTGTATCTCCACATGGTCTTGGCTTACTGGTGATGCCCAGAATATTGCTTCCTAGGCAGTTACATGGCATCTCACAATCTTTCTTTTCCCATACTACTCCTTGTCTGATAACCCTGCCTATCATTCCTACCTGGCTACATCCTGACTGTCCATTGGCTGAAACAGCTTTATTCATCAACCAATAAGAGAAACAGATATTCACAGCATACAGAAGGACATTGTCCATCATCTCCTCTTTTCTGTCTTTTAACTTTAATATAGTAAAATTATATATAACAAAGCAGTTATCATGCAAGAACTATAGCTACAATATTCAGTCCACTAATATTTGTCAAAATGTAAAAAAATATTACACCATCTATCTTATTTTTGTGAGTCTAAAGTTTTAGATGTAACTTACCTTTTATCATAACTAAGAAAACCCAATCTGTAACATTGGGACACTCATCTTCAGTCCATAGGTCTTAGTGTCTGACAGACTTTTTAATAAAGTAGGAAATTTGAAGATCAATTTTGTCTTGTATTGGCAAAGTTCATCAGTTGCTTTTTTCTTTATAGTGGGAACCCTGAAAAACCATTCTGCCTCTTGGCGAGTTTATCAGTCATTTTCCTTTGTAACTTCCTTGTCCAGTTTGGACAGCATGCTTATTGTCAGTAGTTGAGGTGAGGGCAGTAATTAGTTCAATAGGCCAGCTTTGCCTCATAGAAGGTCAACTCCATAACAAGTTTCTTTGATGCCCATCATTCTCTGATATAATTGGTGTTGTCAGGAGCAGTTGTGTCTCACTGTCATGAAAAACCCTAATAAACAATTGTAAATACCATATTCTGTAGGTCTTTGAAAGGTTTTGAAGAATACCTATCCATTTGAAAGGTTTTGAAGAATACCTATCCATTTCAAATATATCTCTGTATATTGAGAAAACCTAACTAACATGACCATAAGTTTTGACTATTATAGGTGTGAGTTCAAGGCCAGCCTGGTGTACAGAAAGAGTTCAAAGACAGTCAAAGATACACAGAGAAACACTGTCTCAAAAAACTGAAAACTGAAAATAAAAGAAATAAAGTAAAAAGTCATTTAAAGATGGAAAATACACAGAGAATCTGATCTGGATACTATGTATTATTGTGTTGTATTTGAATTGTTTGATTGCTGAGGAAGGAGCAACAGCTGCTAAAAGACATTTGATTATAAATGCTGCTGGATTGATACAACCTGTATACAGGATCAGACAGGACAGAACCACATCTTTTACAGAAACAGAGAAGAAATGTGTCACTCATAATGAATGTGGCTAATAGAGTCAATAAAATTCTGAGGTTCTTACCAAATCAATAGCAGTTATAAAGAGGCTACAAAGCATGAAGTGGTGTTGGATTTTGTCAAAGGCTTTTTCAGCATCTAAGGAGATGGATCATGTGTTACAAAATGAATTTGACAATGTTTCTTCTGTATCTATTTTTTGAAAACATTTGAGGAGTATTGTTGGTAGAATTCTGTACTGGAACTGTCTGGTTCTGGAATTTTATTTTGGTTGGGAGAATTTTAATGACTGCTTTTATTTCCTTACAGGTTATAGGTCTATTTAAAGTGTTTATCTTAAGTGGGTTCTATCAAGAATAGTACCCATTTATTTTATGTTTTTCCAATTTTGAGGAATGTAGGTTTTAAATATATAAGCTAATGATTCTTTGGAATTCCACAGTGTTTGTTGTTATGTCCCCCTTTTTGTTTATGATCTTGTTAGATATTCTTTCTGTGTCTTTTAGTTTGGATAAGGATTTGTCTATCTTGTTGATTTTTCTCAAATAATTAACTCTTTGCTTAGTTGATTGTAACGTGCATTCTTCCTGCCAGCTTGGTCCCTGAACTGTGTCAGTCCCAAATGAACACACAGGAAGCTATACTAATTGTAAAGCTGTTGGCCACTTTCTATGTTTTTTCATTGATTAGCTCTGACTTAATTATTAACTCATAACTGCTATCAGAGTATTTCCATGTGGTCTTCTTTTACCTGAGAAAGGGTCTGGATCTCTTACTTCTCTGGCATCCTACATGATGACTGACCATGCCTGTTTCCCAGAAACTTCTCCATGCCTAGTCCAAGCTGTCTCACTTCCCTATTGGACAACAGTGCTTTATTCAACCAATAAGACAAACATATACACAGAAGGGCTTTCCTCATCAGTTGATTCTTGGTATTGATCTCTGTGCTTATGTATTATTGATTTCAGTCCTCAGTTTGATTAATTATTTCCTGCCATCTACTCCTGTTAGGTGTGCCTACTTCTTTTTGTTCTAGAGCTTTCATGTGCTGTTAAGTTGTTAATATGAGATCTCTCCAATTTTTAATGTAAGCATTTAGTGCTATAAACTTTCCTCTTAGCATTACTTTCATTGTGTTCCATAAGCTTGGGAATGTTGTGTATTCATTTTCATTGAATTCTAGAAAGCTTTTAATTTCTGTATTGATCCATTTATCATTCCATAGAATGTTGTTCAGTTTCCATGAATTTGCATGTTTTTGTTGTGTCTGTTGTTGAAATAAAGCTTTAATCCATGGAAGTCTGGTAAGATGCAGGGTATTATTTCACATTTTGTAGTATATGTTGAGACTTGTCTTGGTGACTGAGTATACGGCCAATGTTGGAGAAAGTTAGGTGAGTCTCTGAGAAGTAGGTATATGCTTTTGTGTTTAGGCAAATTTTTCTGAAGATATCTCTTAGATCCATGTGATTTATGCCATCAATTAGTGCCAGTATTTCTCTGTTGAGTTTTGCCTGTCCATTGGTGAGGGTAGGGTAGGTACTAAAATCTCTCAGTATCAATGTTTGAGGGTCAATGTGTGTTTTTAACTTTAGTAATGTTTCTTTTACAAGGGTGGGTATTCTTGCATTTATGGCACAGATGTAAAGTCTTGGGGAGATCAAAAATAAAAGTAATATACCTCAACATAATAAAGCAATTTAAAGAAAACCTATAGTCAACATAAAATTAAATGGAGAGAAAGTCAAAGAAATTCTACTAAGATCAGGAATAAGACAAGGAAGTCCACTATTTAATATAGTTCTTGAAATTCTAGCTTAAGCAATAAGACAAGTGAAGGAGAACAAGAGGACAGAAATTGGAAATCTATAAAGGTATTAATTACTCACAGATGCTATGATAGCATATATATAAATGGCCCTCCATATTCTACCAGGGTACACCTATAGCTGGTAAGTACTTTCAGTATAATGGCTGGATACAAGATTAACTCTAAAATAAGTAATAATCAGTAGATCTCTTATATGCTAATAACAAATTGTCTGAGGAATAAATCAGGAAGACAATACCCTTCATAGTAGCCTCAAATAATATAAAATATCTTGGGATAACTAACAAAGCAAGTAGAAGACTTGTATGAGAAAAATGTTAAGTTTTTGAAGAAAGAAATTGAAGAGGATGTTCAAGGATTGGTAGGATCAATATAATAAAACAGCCATCCACTAGAAGCAATCTATAGATTCAATGCAATTCCCATTAAAATGCCAACACAATTCTTTAAAGACAATACTCAATTTCATATGAAAAACAAACAAACAAGCATTCCAAGACAGCTACAGTTCTGAACAGTTCTGGAACTGTTGCTATCCCTGATTTTAAGCTGTACTGAAGAGCAAGAGAAATAAAAACATTTGGTATTAGAATAAAAAGAGAAAGGTTGAATGGAGTTCAATTTAAGACCCAGATATAAATTCATACACCAAAAGAACATGATATTTGATAAAGAAGCCAAAAGTTTACAATGGAAAAATAGAGCATCTACAACAAGTCATTCTTGTCTAACTGGATGTCTGCATATAGAAGAATGCAAATAGATCTATATTTATCACCCTCCACAAATCTACTTAAATCCAAGTGGATCAAAGATCTCAACATAAAATTAGTTATATCGAACCTAATAGAAGAGAAAGTGGGGAATAGACTTGAACACATTAACTCAGGAGAAAACTTCCTGAAAAGAGCACCAATATCACAGGCACTAAGATGAACAAATAATAAATGGGACCTCATGAAACTAAAACGCTTCTGTAAGGCAAAGGACACAATCAATAGGCCAAAACAGCAGCCTACAAAACAAGAAAAGATTTTCACCAACTCCCCATCTGACAAAGGGCTAATAGCCAAAATATATAAAGATTTAAGAAATTAGACACCCACAAACCAAATGATTCAATAAAAATGCTGTACAGATCTAAACAGAGAATTCTCAATAGAAAAATCTCAAATTTCTGAGAACCACTTAAAGAAATGTTCAACATCCTTAGCCATCAGGAAATGTAAATCAAAACTACCTAGAGATTCCATCTTGCACCTGTCAGAATGGCTCATGCCGATAACACAAGTGGCATCTCATATTGGTGAGAATGTGGATCAAGGGGAACCCTCTTTCATTGCTGGTGGGAATGCAAATTTGTAGAAGCACTATGGAAATCAATAGAAACTTGGGGACATGAATGGAGGGACAGAGCACTGGGAAAGAAGAATTGAATTAGCATTTTTTGGGGGGAGGGAGATATGGAAACCTAGTTCAGTAGAAACTTCCAGGATTCTATGAGGGTGACCCTATCAAGGAGTCCTAGTACCAAAGGATAAGGCTTCCAGAGGTGGGACTGGACCAACCCAGCCACAAAACTTTTGACCTACAAACTATCATGCCTATGAGATGTGCTGGGGCAATGGAGATGCAGAACTTGTGGGAGTGGTCAATGACTGTTCTAACTTGAGGCCCATGCCAGGAGAAGGAGCTCATGCCTGACACTGCATGGATGACCAGGAACTGGAGACTGGGTAGGGCAGAGACCTAGGATAGAAAAAATCATCAAAATGATTCCTAATGATGTTTAGTTATACTCATAGATCAGTGCCTAGCCCAATTGTCATCAGAGAAGCATCTTCTAACAGCTGATGGGAGCAGATACAGTGACCCACAGACAAACATTTGGTAGAGGGAAATCCCAAATTGTGGATCGTCATCAGGTCTCTCCCCTTGGAGCTAGGGGAATCCCACAGAAAGTAAGGGTGGGAGGGAGTTGTAGGAACCAGAGGGATCAAGGACAACACAAGAACATGACCCACAGAATCAACTAAGTAGGGCTCATAGGGGCTTACAGAGACTGAAATGGTAACCATAGAGCCTATAGTTATGTCCTTCGCAAATGTTATGATTGTTAACTTGGTATTTGTAACATGTACTCTTCCTGCCAGCTGAATGGGTCCCATTGCCTCTTTAGTCCCCAAATAACACACGAGACACTATATTAATTGTGAAGCTTTTGGCCATTTGCTACTGTTTCTCATTGGCTAGCTCTGACTTAAATATTACTAATATATATTTTTATAAGGTCTTATCTTACTGAGAATGCCAGACTTGCATTCTCTCCTCCAAGGATCACAGGGCAACGACTTTCTTCACTACATTTCACAGAATCCTCCTAGTCTCCTATTTCCATCTATCTTGCTTCCCTATTGGCCAAAAGTGATTTATTTAATCAACCAATCAGGCAAATATACACAGAAGGACTTCCCCATCAGGTATTAACACTTCTAGAGGTCTCATTCTTAAAGTCAAAATTTAAGATGTTGAGACCAGCCATCTTAAGAGATCCAGGAGCCCCTTATATTCTCACAACAGCACAAGGGTATACCATGCCTTTATTAAAATAGAGATCTGTGTATTCACACCAAACAGCTGAGACAAAATATCCTCATCTGCCAAGATTTACATTGTCAGATTCTGCCTTAAGTTTACTGATTTCTTAACACTGTGGTTCTTGACTACCTTGTGATAGAAAAGGACCTTGTTTTTAACAGTAATATAAAGATTATGAATGACAAGTTGCTATATGGTACAGTGTGTATGTGTTTGTGTGTATATACATGTATACGTGTCTGTTGATGTGTCAGATAATATCACCAGATGACCCCACAACTTTCCATGAATATGGAATGTGGAGTTTCTTAGATCACTCGCAGAGTAAAATATCTGTTTATTTGCTCAGTTCCTAGGACATTACAGAGAGGAAACCATCCAGCTCCAAGGAAATTATGAGGAGCATAACTTCCATCAGCACCAGGGAAGTTGTGAAGAGGATATCTTCAACGCTCTTCAGCCTTTAAGATTGGATTGCAATCTCAACCAGGGAACTTGAGGCAATAAACAAAGACAGAAAAGGATACTGATTTGAACTATAAAATTTATACTTATAAAATATACAATTGAGGGGTTCTTTTGATTAATTGCTTCCTCTTTCTCTTTCTTCTGCAATTCCTTTCAGGTAGCCTTCTTCCAAGCCTTACTACACCACCTCTTCAAATTGATAGTCTTTTTTTTTCTTTGATTATTATTGTTAAACTCACACATATATGCATACACAAATATATAGATACAGCATCTGAGACTGTTATTGTTGTTTGTATATATATATATATACATACATATATATATTTCAGGGCAAAAATATAGATTTTGTTTTTGAGCTTTGTCACCATATACATGTCAATGAGTGTGCATGTGGCCTGTGATGCATCTTAAACTCAATAAGGATTGAATCAATTTGGATTTATTAAAAATGATTTTTTGACAAATTTTCATAAAATAGAATCAAAGTAAATATAATAGAATCATAAATTATAACTACCAGGTATGAGATTACCTACATGTATAGAAAGATCATTAGTAAATATAAAATGAATCACAGAATCTGAATATCTCCTGAAGGAGTTAAAATACATCATTGAGAAGGGCTAGAGAGATGACTCAGTAATTTAGAACATTTGCTACTGTTGTAGAGGACCAGAGTGTGGCTCCCAGTACCCATGTTAGATGACTCATAAACACATGCAAGTCCAATTTCAAGGAAACCAAAACCTTTTCCAAGGTTCTTTTTGAATATGCACTCACATTTGCATACTCTCACACAGACATAGACAAGCATACACAAATTAAAAGTGAAAAAAAATCCTTAAAGTACACCAATCAGAAATATAATGAACCTAAATCTCTGAATTTCAAGATGATGCTGAAACTAAATGAAATAAAAAATAGATACAAAATATCCAGGAAATATGGGACACCGTGAAGAAGCCAAACCTGAGAATAATAGGTATAGAAGAAGGTGAAGAACTTCAACTTAAAGGTACAGAAAACATATTCAACAAAATCATAGAAGAAAACTTCCCTAACCTAAAGAAAGATATGCCTATGAAAGTACAAGAATCTTACAGAACACCAAATAGGCTTGACCAGAAAAAGAAGTCACCTCGCCATATAATAATCAAAACATCAAACCTACAGAGTAAAGAGAAAATATTAAGAGCAGCTAAAGAAAAAGGCCAAGTAACATACAAAGGCAGACCTATCCGAATTACACCTGACTTCTCAATGGAAACGATGAAAGCCAGAAGATCCTGGTCAGATGTCCTACAAACGCTAAGGGAACAAGGATGCCAGCCCAGACTACTATATCCAGCAAAGCTCTCAATTACCATAGATGGAGAAAACAAAATATTCCATGACAAAGCCAGATTTAAACAATACGTATCCATGAATCCAGCTCTACAGAAAATGCTAGAAGGAAAACCTAGAGCCAAGGAAGATAACTACATTCACAAAGACACAGGCAATATATAATCATACTTTACAAAACACCAAAAGAAAAAGGGAGGAGAAACTACACAAAATAACTTCACTAACAATAAATCAAGCGCAAACAAGGATCACCAATCAATGGTCATTAATATCCCTCAATATCAACGGCCTCAACTTGCCTATAAAAAGACACAGACTAGCAGAATGGATACGAAGACAGAACCCTTCCTTCTGCTGCATACAAGAAACACATCTCAACACCAAAGACAGACGTTATCTCAGAGTAAAGGGCTGGGAAAAGATCTTCCAATCAAACGGCCCCATGAAACAAGCGGGCGTAGCAATCCTAATATCTAACAAATTAGACTTCAAATTAAAATCAATCAAAAGAGATGAAGAAGGGCACTTCATATTCACAAAGGAAAAATACATCAAGACGAAGTCTCGATTTTAAACATCTACACCCCAAATACAAAGGCACCTACATTCGTGAAAGAAACATTACTAAAGCTCAAAATGCACATAAAATCTCACACACTAATAGTAGGAGACTTCAACACTCCGCTCTCACCGCTAGACAGGACCTCCAGACAGAAACTTAACAAAGAAACAAAAGAATTAATAGAAGTTATGACCCAACTGGGTTTAACAGACATCTATAGAACACTCCACCCAAATACAAAGGGATATACCTTCTTCTCGGCACCACATGGAACCTTCTCTAAAATTGACCACATAATAGGAAACATAGCAAATCTCCACAGATACAAAAAAATTGGAATAACCCCTGCATCTTATCAGACCACCATGCATTAACATTAGAATTCAACAATAACACAAATCGCAGAAACCCTACAAACTCATGGAGATTGAACAATGCACAATTGCACCATCCCTGGGTAAAGGAACAAATAAAAAAAGAAATTAAAGACTTCCTCGATTTCAATGAGAATGAAGACACAACATACACAAACTTATGGGACACTTTGAAAGCAGTGCTGAGAGGAAAGTTTATAGCACTAAGTGCCCACATGAAAAAACTGGAAAACAGTCATACTAGAGAATTAATAGCACAGCTGAATGTTCTAGAACAAAAAGAAGCAAACTCCCCCAGGAGGAGCAGACGCCAGGAAATAATCAAATTGAGGGCTGAAATCAATCAAGTAGAAACCAGGAAAACACTGAGAAGAATCAATGAAACAAAGAGTTGGTTCTTTGAGAAAATCAACAAACTAACCAAAAGACAGAGAGAGAACATGCTAATTAACAAAATCAGGGATGAAAAAGGGGACATAACAACGGACTCTGAGGAAATCAAGAGAATCATCAGGGCATACTTTGAAAATCTGTACTCCACAAAATTTGAAAATTTAAAGGAAATGGACAATTTCCTGGATAGATATCACTTGCCAAAACTAAATCAAGAACAGATAAATAATATAAACAGATCTATAACCCCTAATGAAATAGAAGCAGTCATCAAAAGTCTCCCAAACAAAAAAAGCCCAGGCCCAGATGGCTTCAGTGCAGAATTCTACCAGAAATTCAAAGAAGAGCTCATTCCAATACTCGTCAAAGTATTCCACACAATAGAAGCAGGAGGCTCACTGCCAAACTCTTTCTACGAGGCTACAATTACCTTGATACCCAAGCCACACAAAGACACAACTACGAAAGAGAACTATAGACCAATTTACCTCATGAACATTGATGCAAAAATACTCAATAAAATACTTGCAAACCGGATTCAAGAACACATCAGAAAAATCATCCACCATGATCAAGTAGGCTTCATTCCAGGAATGCAGGGATGGTTCAACATTAGAAAATCTATCAATGTAATCCACCATATTAACAACCTGCGAAAGAAAAACCACATGATCATCTTACTAGATGCTGAAAAAGCCTTTGACAAAATCCAGCACCCCTTCATGATAAAGGTCCTAGAGAGATCAGGGATAACAGGAACGTACCTGAATATAATAAAAACAATATACAGTAAACCAACAGCTAACATCAAACTAAATGGAGAGAAACTCAAAGCAATTCCTCTAAAATCAGGAACAAGACAAGGCTGTCCACTCTTTCCATATCTCTTCAATATTGTACTTGAAGTTCTACCTACAGCAATAAGACAACAAAAGGAGATAAAGGGGATACAAATAGGAAAAGAAGAAGTCAAACTTTCACTATTTGCAGATGATATGATAGTTTACATAAGTGACCCAAAAAACTCCGCAAGGTTACTCCTAGAGCTGATAAACACCTTCAGCAATGTGGCAGGATACAAGGTAAACTCAAAAAAATCAGTGGCCCTATTATATACAGATGATGAAGTGACTGAGAAAGAAATCAGAGAAACATCACCTTTTACAATAGCCAAAAACAGCATCAAATATCTGGGGATAATGTTAACCAAGGAAGTGAAAGACCTGTATATCAAGAACTTTGTGTCTTTGAAGAAAGAAATCAAAGAAGATACCAGAAAATGGAAAGAGCTCCCATGCTCTTGGATTGGTAGGATCAACATAATAAAAATGGCAATCTTGCCAAAAGCAGTCTATAGATTCAATGCAATCCCTATCAAAATTCCATCACAATTCTTCAAGGACCTGGAAAGAACATTAATCAACTTTATATGGAAAAACAAAAGGCCCAGGATAGCCAAAACATCCCTATACAATAAAGGAACTTCAGGAGGCATCACCATACCTGACTTCAAGCTCTATTATAGAGCTACAGTCCTGAAAACAGCTTGGTATTGGCACAAAAATAGGCAGGTAGACCAATGGAACCGAATCAAAAGCCCTAATTTTAACCCACACACCTATGAACACCTGATTTTTGACAAAGAAGCTAAAACTGTGCAGTGGAAAAAAGAAAGCATCTTCAACAAATGGTGCTGGCATAACTGGGTACTGGTATGCAGAAGACTGCAGATAGATCCATGTTTATCGCCTTGTACAAAGTTAAGTCCAAATGGATCAAAGATCTCAACATACATCCAGCCACACTGAAACTTTTAGAAGAGAAAGTGGGAGATACTCTTCAACGAGTTGGTACAGGAGACCACTTCCTAAACATAACACCAGTGGCACAGGCACTGAGATCGACAATTAACAAATGGGACCTTCTGAAACTAAAAAGCTTCTGTAAGGCAAAGGACACAGTCAAAAAGACAAAAAGGCAGGCCACAGAATGGGAAAAGATATTCACTAACCCTACATCTGACAGAGGGCTAATCTCCAAAATTTACAAAGAACTCAAGAAACAAGTCTCCAAAACACCAAAGGATCCACTTGAAAGGTGGGGTACAGAGCTAAATAGAGAATTCTCAGTAGAGGAGGCTAAAATGGCCAAGAGACACTTAAGAAAGTGCTCAACATCCTTAGCCATCAGGGAAATGCAAATCAAAACAACTCTGAGATACCATCTTACTCCTGTCAGAATGGCTAGAATCAAAAACACCGAAGACAATTTATGCTGGAGAGGATGTGGAGAGAGAGGAACACTCCTCCACTGCTGGTGGGAATGCCGACTCATACAGCCTCTTTGGAAATCACTATGGAGATTCCTCAGGAAAATGGGAATTAATCTACCACTAGACCCAGCAATTCCACTCTTAGGCATTTATCCAAATGAGGCAGGTTCATACAACAATGGCATCTGCTCCACTATGTTCATAGCAGCATTGTTTGTAATAGCCAGAACCTGGAAGCAACCTAGATGCCCCTCAACTGAAGAGTGGATAGAGAAAATGTGGTACATTTACACAATGGAGTATTACTCAGCAGAAAAAAACAATGGAATCTTGAAATTCGCAGGAAAATGGATAGCACTGGAAGAAACCATCCTGAGTGAGGTAACCCAGTCGCAAAAAGACAAACATGGTATGTACTCACTCATATATGGATTTTAGATATGGATCAGGATAGTGCCAGTCTGCACTTCCACAGATAGAGAGTCTGGGAAACAGGAAAGAACCTAAAAGATATGCATATATGCATAGTACCCAAGAGAAGAGGATGGAGACAAGATCCTCTGAATGGATGGGGAACACGGCGAGGGGTGGGGGGGAGTGGGACCCGGGAAGAATAGAGGGGGTAAAGAGGAAGGGAGTTGGTCATGGGGGAACAGGAAGTTGAGGGGGTGGGGGTAGAATAGGGGGAATAGGGAATCATAGGATCGAAGACAGATCAGGCACCAGAGTGACCTCGAGTGATCCAAAGGTATAACATCAATTGGCAAGCTAAGCAATAGTGGAGGGACCACCTCGAATGCCCATTCCTGATAATGAACTTGATGTCTATAACCATCCGGGAGCCTTCATCCTGTGACTGATGGAAGCAGAGGCAAACACACAACTAATCACTGAACTGAACCCAAGGAACCCAGTGACAGAGAGAGAGAGGAGTGATGAGCAAATTGGCAAAGAATGGGCTGGCAAAACCAGCAGAGACAGCTGATCTGAACAGGGGAGTGCTCATGGACCCCAGACCGACAGTGGGGAGGCCAGCATGGGACTGATCTGGACCCCCCAAATGTGAGTGTCAGTGAGAAGGCCTGAGCAACCTATGGGGCCCTGAGCTGTGGATCAGTGTCTATCCCTGGTATACAAACTGTCTTCATGTGCCTATAGCACAAAGAGAGATGCTTTCTTAGCCTGGACTCTTAGGGGAGTGCCTTGACCCTACCAAGAGTAAAATGACAGACTCTAGATATCTCCTATGTGGAAGGATTTGGCAATAGGGTGGGAGGGAGGGGGGAAGGGGAGTGCGGGAAGAGGGGAGGGAGAGGGAACTGGGATTGACATGTAAAACAAGCTATTTAAAATTAAAATAAAAAATGATAAAAAATAGATGTTTGGATATTTTTTAGAATATATGCTTAATCATAAAAATAGTTTCAATGTAAAGAAATAGAAAAAGAAATCACTAAATGTGAAGTGTAGTCCTTAATTACTGAGCCATCTTACCAGCTCAGATCTGAAAGCTTCATAGTTCTGTAAGGTACTATATATGATACCATCAGATAAAAGTAATTATTAATTAAACCCAGTTGTGAATCCTGCAAGCTTGCTGCTCTAATAGTAGCACAGACATCAACAGATTAACCAGCCACTTTCCATAGGATTTAAGTTCTGTTCCACAAGATGAATCCTATATCTGGCTCCATTATCAGGCAAGGAACCTGTAGCTAAACAGGACATAAGTTGCAAGGTGCGAAGGCTGGGGGCCCTACTACTTATAAATGGACATAGCATTAAACCAATTCCTAATGATTTATTACACTCATAGATCACTGCATCTCTGAAAACTCACCTGAGAAGCTTACATTTGCAGTAGACCATGAGTATCACAGAGACTCACAACTGGTCGAGGTACATGAAATAAACAACTACAGGATGATCAGTTCTAAAGGGGGGTATGTATACTACAACCCCTTCTGAGGGCTCAAGGATCATTGTAGAAGCATGTATGAACCAGAAGTGGTGAGTAACTACAAGAGTAACTATATATTCTGATACAACAGGACAGCTACAGACATTAACTCACAATAACTGTAACAGCATGCAAGAGATCTATGCAAGCCTAAACTAGATCAAACCCTAGCTAGTAACGGGAAGTGGACATGAAATTTCATCCCTAGCTTTAGAGTTCTTGGCAATTGTTAGCTTCTGGGTGAGAGAGAAACAGATTTCTAAAATTGTGCACTCTTGAAATTTCATAGGCCAAAGAAATGAATTCATTATTTTTATGTTCAGCCTCATAAAAATCAGCAGGATGTGGACAGAAGGTAGCCAGATATTTTTGCCCAAATATCCTGTGAATGGCCTTTAGCCCATTTTTTTTACAGAGACTTTATTTCCCTTGGGCGTTCTTGAGTTGTTTAGTCCACACTATCCTCAGCACTGTCTTTCAGGTTCCTAGTAGAATAGCCTGCTAAGTTCTGTGTATAGTATTCAACTGTTTTCTAGTCAGAAGTTCCAAAGTCTTCCACATTTCTCCAAAAAAACAGTAAGGTAGGATTCCTCACAGCAACTTTCCACTTTTTGGTAATCAAGAGCTTTATTAGTTACTTTTGGATGCTGTAATAAAATGCCAGAATCTAAAGGGACTAATCAAAGGCAGCTTATCTTTGATTATGGTTTCAGGGGGTGGATGAAGTCTCTGATGGCTACAGAGAGAGGTATGACAGTAGGTGGCCTGGTCAGAAAACTGAGAGATCCTATCAGGGTAATACACAGGTAGCAAAGTCTGTGGTAATGGTACCGATGTTGTTGACACTCAGCCGTAGAAGTGGGAAGGGGAGGGTCAGAGGCTTATCATCAGATTGCAACAATGGCTCCCTCCTTCCTACCTCATCCTTGCTACAAATAATCTTGAGAGATTCTAGAATATATAAGAAGAGGAGGTTACCCGAACAGGGGCTACTTGATGCAATACTCGTGAGGTTGGCATTAATGATGGAAAGAATTTGTTATGATGAAGCTGTTTAGGACTACTCATACTCCTTTGAGTAACTCACCACTCATGTTCCTCAAGTAATCCCAATAATCTCAGTGGCTACCAAGTTGGACTTTGGTAGAATTTTTATCTGACCTGTCCCTGGTCCTCAATAAAGAGAAAATAGACGTTAATATCTCATTTGGAAAACTTAATCTAACAGTGCTCCAAAAAGCATCATATGTATGACACCAAAGAATGTTGCCAGCTCATATGATAAGTACATTCTCTTGGACAATGGCTGCAGTGCTGTCTGTGTGCCTGGACTAAAGAATGCAAGGATATTTCTTTTGTGATCCTGTGCTTACAAGCTACTCTGAAGGTTTGTTGTAAAAAACTTCCAAAAGTTAATGCCCTCAGCTTGTGATGTATGGGATATAGCCAATAACTGAGGTACATTCAAGGCAATTCCCCATTTTCTAATGACCCCAAAACTTCAGGGACATGGTTTCCCTGGCTAAACTTTATGGTTTCTTTTCCTTTTTGAAAACACTGCAATTTTTGAAAAATCTGCTCTGCTTTTTGTTCACAGTTCTACTTGTAATGACAAAAATAGGATACCAATCTATAGTACAGCTAAATGCTCGGGTGACAGTTCCTCCTAAAAATTCATTAGTTCACCAGTAGAAGGTTGACAAAATGTCAACAAATTCTTTGTCAGAATGTAACATGAATTCTCTTTGGTCCATTTATCAAAAAAGTTCTTGCTCTCCCCTGAGAACTTGTAAGCATAGTCCTTACTAGTGACATTGCCATAAGAATCTGTTCTCTGATTATAATATCCTACCTGAGTCTCCCTAGAAAAACTCATAAACCAGTTACAAAGCAAGACACACTACTTACAGATATTGTTGACAGAACAATTATCTTGATTTTCTGTTAGTGAGATTTTCATTACTGTAAGAAATACCTATTAATCAATTTGAAGGAGAAATATTTTTATAGATTGTTGGGGGCTATGCAAGAGGAACAGCAAGCAGCTTTGGAACTCATGGGAAACAGCAAGCCCAGCGGTTAGCACACCCATGTTGGGTGAGCCTTGGAGAGGTAAAGCATGGAGGACTAGTTTCCTGAGGATAGTATGCTGTTATTGAATATAGTTCTGCTTATTACCCTTAGGGTTACCACATTCCTCATAATCTATGGGTTGTATGAAAACTCTCAGGGGCCTTCTAGTCCCTCACTAGGCTGTGTCACTGGTACTTACAACAACAGTAATTAACTTTTTCCAAGCATGGCTGCTGGAACAGATTAATGGTTCAACTACCACCCTTATAAAGAATTTACAGATGTAGATTGTTAGTAAACTTAGGTTAGGATGTTTTTGTTAATGGTTTGTTGTAGAAAATCTTAGGGACCAATTTAAAGTTTAGAAAAGTACACTTTCAATAGTTGAGTGAGGAACTCATTGATGTCAAGGAAATAAAAAGGCAGTCTGGTTATTACTAGCTGAACTGCCTTTCTTGCTAAAGAAGGGTTGATGATCAAAGGTAATGATTAATTCTTTGTACCCATTTTTATACACAGCTTCCTGGTATGATTTTATAAAAAATATTTATAAAAATGGTTGCTCTATATGATATGACAGACTTTGAAGATCCCTCCCGGAAGACCTCACCCTCCCTGGGGAGCAGAAAGGAGATGGGATAGAGGGTTGCTGTGGGGCAGGGGAAGAGTGGAGGAAGAGGGAACTGGGACTGACATGTAAAACAAGCTTGTTTCTAATTTAAATAAAATAATTAAATAAGTAAATGATTGTGCACTCTGAGGATTTAAAGTAGATATAGCTGATTGTTTTTAATACATACAAGTTTAGATTTGTGATTCTAAGATCTTTTGTAAGATTACTTTTTGAGATAAATAATAAAATGATTGATTCTTTCTTTGTAACCACAAACTGCTGCCTACCAGTACAAAAGTAGCTGGCTGAAATATACTTGGCTTTGTAAAAATTTTGTTAACAATTGTAAAACAATCATTGCTATGGGATGAAGAGATGTTATGGTGGGAAAATCAATACAAAGAAAAATATTTAAGTAATTGTGGGCTTCTAAGAAATACATGTAACTTGTGATCATAATGTGATTTCTTCTTGTGTAAGGGTTGCAATTTGTTTCTGGAAAAGATGCAGCTTCTGGTTGTGAGGTAAAATTCTTCATGCTTGGAAATTTTTGTCTTAGGAGGTATAATAGAGATAAGAGAAAAACCAAAGAAGTAGAAAGAAAGCATCAGGAAAGATACACAAGGAGAGCATCAGGAAAGATGTAGAAGGAGAGCATCAGGGAGATGTAGAAGAAGAACATCAGGGAGATGTAGAAGGAGGACATCAGGGGAGATGTAGAAGAAGGACATCAGGGAGATGTAGAAAGAGGACATCAGGGGAGATGTAGAAGAAGGACATCAGGGAGATGTAGAAAGAAGACATCAGGGAGATGTAGAAGGACAGATGGGAACAAGAGGCAGAAAAACAACAGGATAGAACAGTGCTGTGGTACAATATTGGTTCTGGTTCAGGTCCTGAGGCAGGGAAGGGGTGTTGGTGCAAGGAAAACTTCTGACAACCAAGTGGTTGCACTCAAGTGGCCGAGAATAGTTCAGGCATCTTTCTTTATACTTACACAGAGTTTTTCTTACCAGGGTTACATGGACAGCTTTATTATTGACTTATATTTTCGACTTCAAGAAACATATCACAATTTAAAGAATACATTGTGAATATTATGAAAGCCCCCTTTATGATTCCCCAAGTACATCTTCCCACCCCCTACACAACCTTATTCTAGACATAGAGTCCGGAATTTTTACAGACTTAACTAAATTTTGAGCCAAACACATCCTGCTCTCATAGCACTTAAGTCAGGGGGCAGATAATCATGGTTACAAATTTAAAGTAATAAACATGGGTGCGATCCTTTGAGGAAAGCAATATTCAAACCCAGACAATTCTTTAAGGTCTGCAAGATATATTTCCTTTTCTACAAAAGGGTTGCAAGTCTCAGTCTTTCTGTGAAAGGTAAACTTTGATCAAGCACTCTTTTCCCATCTCACTATACCGTAATTCTTCCACCAATATAAGTTCATGTGTATGGTAAAATGGATCTGTCCATCTCACATTGTACATTGCATTTTCCCCATCAGAATATACTAGATCTTATCATTGATTATATACAATTGCTGCCCATGGGACTTACTCTCAACAGTTGGTATGATGTGTATTCCTGAGGCTCTCCCCCCTATTCTGTGTGTATATGTTCTATTCTCCTTTCTTGAACTGAGGGATATGTTTAATGTTCCAAGTGTTGTTTTCTCAAGCTCCTAAGATTAGCAGTTGTAGAGTAATTTCAGATAAGAGTTTTGAGAAACATTAGCCCCTTGTTGAATCTTAGGGAAAATATTTGAAAAGGAAGAGAATTTGCAGGGAAAGTTAAAGTTATAGCTGCTGCATGTGTGACTGATAAAGTAAAACTAAAAAAATGCCCAAAGAATAATCAGTGTTAGAGAGAAAAGAGCCAGCAAGCTGCACGTATTTTTGCAAATTCCTACACTGTCTTGTGGAATACTTGTCCTTTTCAAGTGAGCGTTCATTTTCACAGGTGTATTGCCTTGAGGAAACCCATTGGACAGATAGTGATATGCTGATCTGAGACTAGGCTGCAGGGCTCCCAAAGGAAGGGAACAGAACAGAACAGAACAGAACAGAACAGAACAGAACAGAACAGAATAGAACAGGAGAATGAATAGTAAGGGCAGCAGAAAGAGAGAAATAAAATTAAGATTTAAGCTTTGCTCCTCAGATAAAGTTTCCATGTGCATCTGTCCAATAGTTTGTTGACTCCATGCTTCCTCTTCAGTACCTGACCTGCTGATGGCTGGCTCCCCTGACAGTGAATGATTTCAGTGCATTTACATCATGGTCATCTGGATGCGTTGCTTGGGTAGGGTAAAGGTTTTCACCTTTTGTCTAGGAGAAAAGAGGGGAGTGGTGGAAGAGAGAGCAAGACGGAGGAGAGGAGGAAAATTCAGAAGATGAGGAGGGGGAGGTGGAAGACAAAGAAGAAATAGGAAAAGTGAAGGGAAAGGACGACATAGAGGTCAGGGGTAAATTCACAGCACATGTGAATATGACTCCAGTGATCTATTTCCCCCACCTAGGCTCCACAGACTAGTATGTCTGCCACACTCTAAAACCACAATCCAAGGAGCAATTCTTTACTATAGGGGCCTTTAGGAGATATTATATACCAAACCATTTATGTATAATTCAAAGTCTAATAATAGACTCATTTTTACCTTCCACCTTTTCATCATTATGATGTGTTGGGATATTCTTATTTTATCTAGTCATTTTTTGAGCTACCATATTTTTGTAACGTAGCTATTTTACTATGCTCTAGAAGAACCAGAAGCAATTTTGGTCCATGTCTTTAGACACTCTGTTGCACTTTTGTACATAAATCCACTCATGGGCATTTCCCAGTGTCTACTATTGATTCATTCTATTCTTCTATCAGATTGGTAGCTAATTTTCAGAAATAAGTGAGAACATATGGTATGTATCTTTTTGTCAGCTTAAAAATTATGATCAGATAACTAAGACATTTAATCCTTACAGATATTTATGATTACCAAAAGTAATTATACACAAATGCAACATTTAACTGTTAATAAAAATTCTTTTTATTTTCTGAAAATTACTTCCATTTACATCATTTGGATTATTGATTTTTATTCTTGTTATCACTCTATCTCCTGTTCTGATTTTATTTCCACCTTTTAGTAGGTTAGGTTACTGTTCAGAGGAGTTACAAATATGCAAACTTGAATAGCCATATTATTTTCACACCCATAACATCAATTGCTTGATCATAATTATTTTGTACTGTGAT